TTCTTGTCAACTGAATAGTCAGTATCGGACAGATTATTTGCAATAACCAAGAGAATATAAGTTTATTATATCTACCAATAACGGGCAATACTGGCTAAGTAAAAGTAAATAAATGAATACATAAATCTTAATGAATAAATTTGTGAATTCGACCAGGACCTTTGACCAGGACTGTGGTCCTCTATTGTTTACGTTACATGTAGGCCGGACGAAAGTATTTCAATAGTGAAATACCATTTTTTACCATTTTTTTAGGGTGTTACGCGAACGTCAACGTGTTTTCGCGGGAAATTAAAGAAACCCCCCACGTATCTCAGTTCTGAAAATGAACAGATACGGAACAGGGTTGTTTCAAGGGTAGAATTGGGATGGAGGCTCCGGGTACTAGTAAACTTTCTTGCAAAGGGCTCTTTTTTTTTTTCCCCATATCATAGATCCGCCGCAGAGACAATTTTTTACGGCTTTTTCTGTTATTTATCCATCATGCTGTTATTTACGCGGCCGCAAAAAATGAATGGATTGGTAGTGCGCCGTTCTAGGAGTCTGTACTGCTCAGTTTGTTTTGGTACACGTGTATCACTATCTATGGCTTACGAATATCCCGGGTCGCACATGATATAAGAGATAATGGGTTAAGTAATTGGGACCGGAAATACCTTGAGTATCTATGAAGCCTCTATCACCAGGGATCCCTGGGGAAGATTTGGTTGATCCCCAGTGGGTGTACATAGCGACACTTATTACAAAGTTTAGTTGCACGGGTTTCAGCTCTCGCTATGCAGTTTGTAATGAAGGGCTTCCTTGTTATACTTAACTTGAGCTTATTCTATCACAGCGTCCACTGTCAAGATGAAGAATTTGACGAAGTCCAAAGAGAAGAAGATAAGCTACCACAGTATCTTAAAGATGATGGAATTCGGCGAGTCGCCAAGCTAACGAAAGAGCACTTTAACAAGACGTTGAGAGCGAGTCGAATGATGGTAGTTTTATTTTATTATTCGAGCAGCGAAAAGCCAGATCCTGAAGCTGATCGATCGTGGAAAACGGACCAAAAGATGCTCGAGGTAGGAGGGCTTCGTAGCAAAGGTTTTAGATAAGTCTCAGATGGAAGCTCACATTACTCTGATACAGCAATCGGTCAGTCGAGGTAGTGATAATACTTATCATGTATATTTTGCACGTGAAATCATTCACAGTTCTTTGTTATTGTCTCACTTGAATTTAAAATAATTAATTTTGTTGAAAATTTATTTCTTGTGTCTTTTGTGAGGGAATTCAAGTCCGTGTTGAAGTTTATCAACAGAAACAAATTTAAGAATTAGTTTTATCTGAGAGATAAAACTCTACGGTTTTTCCTGTGGGATTTGTTTTCATATTCACATCAGCTTAACTTAATTATTTTCGTTTCCAAATTTTCATGCGGGTTTCATTTCATGGGTGATATGGCAAATTAGATGCTTTCAACTTAAAGCATGTGAATCCTTGTAAATTTAACGCATTCATGGAGGCGACAAAGTAGAGTAAACAAAAATCTTTTCAGATAAGAAATTTTGAAATTATAGTTACTGTTTGTTCTGAAACAAAGATCTCTCTCCGCTGAGAACTGTCAATAATTAATTAGCCAGTTCTAATTGATGGTGTAAATTGTTCTTCAATAATAGATGATTTTTGAAAATCAAACATACATTTTACTTCCCAATATTTTCCCTTCTCTCTGATTTTGGCATAAATGGCTTTGAACACCTTGTTTTTGTGAAAAGTGAAATTGTTCCAAAACAGATAGGGAAATTTTTTTATTTTCGGTTTCAAATTTTGAGGTTATAGATGGATACAATATTCGGTTATTTAGTTAATTCTATCAACATCAAAATCTATTCAAGTTCTCAGTTGTTCCTTACCATGAGATTTATTTTGTTTTTGACAGGTTTATAAATGGTAAGATTTACTTTGTAGCCAGTTAAGCACTAAAGAAATTAGGGCCTTAAAATGATTGGATCACTGGCCAGACTGTCAAGTTAAAACTTAAATTGAAATGTATAAGGAAAAAAGAAAGGAGTGAGCAGCTGTGTCTTGGGAGATTTGGTCTCTGATTATCTGTGCTTTCCACAGGAGGTCTTTGTTTGAATTGAGAGGAGGTGAAACTCATGCTTCTACATAAATTCTTTGTTGCCCAAAAAACAACGGACAAACAAATTGAGTAATTTGGCTTTATCAACTGAGTTGATAATTTAAATAGGCCATCATAGAGAGTTTCTAAGCTGAAGCTGCAAGCTTTAAAGGTTCATGTGAGGATTTGAAGGAGTGGTGTGTGTGACTAGCATGGTTTTATCTTTCTGTTTATCAAAAACAAAGAACTTCCAATTTCTCTTTCCACTCTGATGAAGGGCAAATGCTCAAAATGTCAGCCTAAGAAATTCTTTACAGTGGCTAATTTACATTATCAACTCAGTCAAGAAAACCAAATTATCTAATCATACCCCCCTTCCCCCCCCCCCACCCCACCCCACTGACTTGGCACTATAGTTTCTTTAGAAACTTACTATCTTAAAACAAATTAGGAACATTAATAAGCCTGAGGAAAAACGAAAGTCCTTAAAAAAATACTTTTGAAAAGACAAAAATACAAATAATAAAAAACAAAATACCTAAACAGATCGATGAACTTGAGAAAAAAAATTCTAAAACTTAATATTTGAAACAGGCACAAACAAACCTAAAAAAAAAAAAAGACATTGTAGAAAAGTAAAGGTGAGAAAGAAAACAAAAACGAAAATATATCTATTTTAAAATGTCACTCCATTTATCTCCTTGCCCCTTGACCCTTTGACTTCTAAAAGTAATCAGCATCTAATTTCTCCTCACAGTGTCATCCCTTGAATCACACATTAAAATCATAAGAACAGGAGAAATCATCACCAACTAAAGAAGCTCTTGATTGTTAAACAAATTCTCCTTGTCAGCACCTTATGAAAAAAATAGAGAACAGTAGGGAGAATATACCTTCTAATGCTATGGTGTAAAGAGTTAACCAGATGTTAATACAATATCAAGCAGGCAGGTGATGAGAATAGAGAAGAATATCAATTATGGGATTATTAGTTGATCCAATACCAAATTTTCTGAACTAACATCATAAGAATTGTATGGCAGATAGTAAGGAGAATTACTTATTAGATCTTGGGAGTGAAAGGGTTAAGGTAGTCGTAGCTTCAATGGCCTTCTTATGAAGAGTTTTCTTTTCCCAAATTGGTATAATTCCCTTGGTGCTCTATTTTAAAATTAGTTAGTCTCAGCAGTTCCCAGAGGTATAACAAGCAGGTGACACTGTAAGTGTAACACAGGGTGTGAAACAAATGTTCCAAGTTGACAGACTTGACATGTATAAACACCTTTTTTGATGGTTTAGTATATAAGATGTGCAAATATTAGTAAGGCAAATTTCCAGCAGTGCTTATAATATATTGACTAACAGAAGTTGCCATCTATAATATTTCCCTTCCACAGATTGTAGCTCGAGTTCTTCAACCACAGGGTGTCACAGTTGGTGTGGTTAATGTTGCTGAAAATATGGAGCTAGTTAAAGAAATGGGTATGTGCTACCTTAATCAACAATATATTGTCTGAAGCAAGAACACTGAACAATTGAGATGTTAAGCAAGTGGGAAGTTTGGAGAGCACAAAAAATACCTAGGAATTGCTCAAGGCACAAAAGAGAGAAAATCAGGTGTCTTTGGTGCTCATCAAGCTTTCTGAGTACAGTCAAACCTTAATTATCTGGACTTGTTGGGACTGAGTTGATTAGTTTGGATAATTGTGAGCCTGCATATATATGACAATATGATGTTAATGAGCCAAAAATAAAACTGAGTATGCACCATTTGAATTATTGTGCATCACTGTTAAGATTTGCAAAAAGTTATTAAAGCCAACTTACAGTGCTTACAGCCTAAATGAGGATGTAAATCAGTTTGTTTCAAACTGCTACAGCATGTATGCATCGCTAATTCTATCAATCTTTGAAGCTCCATTCATTTAATAGAATTATAGCATCAACATTGCCTCATTACATGTGCTTTGTTGATGCAAAAAATTGTTACAGATCTGGAATATGACTAGTTACTATATTCATAACAAATGAGACCAGAGAGGTGTGTCCAAATATAAAAAAAAAAATCTAGATTAATCAAGGTTCAACTTTACTTCATATCTTGGTGAATGCACAACTTACACATGAATCAATTAGCCTTTTAACTCTCAAGATCTGATTGTCAATTCTCCCCTCCAGCTGCTACATATTTCCCTTTTAATTAGTTACAAGAATTTGGTGTTAAATCAAGATACAACTTCTACCTGATAAGTATGAGTATTCTCATTACCTTTTTGCTGGATAATGTCAGTATGCATATTCTCCCTACTGTTTTCAATACATTTCCTAAGGTGCTGACAAGGAGAATATGTTTATCAATCAAGAGAATATTTAGTTGGTGATCATTTCCTTTATTCTCATGACCTTACTGTGTGATGCAGGAGTCATACTGTTTGGAGAAATTTTATGCTAGTCACTCTTAAGGGTTAAAGGATTAAAGGGTTAAAGGTATAACATTATCAACACAGAATTTTAATCTCCCTTTAAGGAGAAATTTCCTCTGCCATGCTTCGATGCAGACAGGTCATCAGTGAACATAATGGGAGTAATTAAAGCATGCTTGCACTTTTGATTTTTATTTTACCAGTTTATGTCATAATTTTTGTTGAAGTCTGGTGGTGAAAGGTCAAGACAGCAAATTGTACACAAATGGCATTCACCCATCTACACCCATCCCTCTCCTCAAATGTGGCTATACAATGAACATTTCAGTCAACCCTTTAACTCACATGAGAGTTACCAGGACAGAATTTCTCTAAATGCAATATCAATACAATATCAAGAAGAGAAGTGACAAGCATGAATGAAAATATCAATTATGGGATTATTAATTGATCCAATAACAAACGCTCTGAAGTGACATCATCAGAATGGGAGCAAAATTGTTAAAAATCATTCTTAATTGCTACATGTTTGGACAAATATTTAAAAATTTTTTTCCATCAGATTTACTTTACGTTTCAAATATGAATTTTCTAACTAACTGCAGGTGTGAAATACTCTGGAGCAATTATGGTTTATCATAGAGGAAAGAGAGTAGAATATTTTGGACACAGGTAATGGAATATAAGAAATGAAAACTGTTATATGTTTCTATTGATAGTGGCTGGACATGCATTGAATTATCCTTCATGAACTTCTTGATAGTTAAGCCCTAGATGTCCCATAAAACAGTGTAGTGAGTATAACTCATTTGTATTTTATTGACAGGTCAGCTGATGTTCTTGTGGGATTTCTTCACAGGGTATGTTTGAAATCCTTTGGCTACATGTATATCTGTACTTGTTTTTCAAATTGCTCCCAGGCTTGAGGTTTGAGGTGATAAAGAAATATTATTTTAGAGAAAGATGTTTCTGTCTTGCCATGAGTGTGGGGAAAAAGAAAAAATTCTGAGTCCCCTTGAGGAATCGAACCTCAGACCTTCAGATTCCTCATGTGGACTCAGAATTTTTTTTCAGTCCCACACTGTGTAGAGAAGACAAAAAAACATCTTTCTCTATTTCGTAACCAAGCTCAAAACTTACCATCTCTTTTATTCTATTTACAAGAATTATTTTGGTTACACCCTTTTTTTTCTACTTAAAATGATGTCGACTTTCTAATCTGGTGTTAATATAGACAGTCAATTGCTATTTTACTAGCTGTTTGGAAAATGCTGGTGATATACATTTTGATTACATCCATTTTGCAATCACTGGTGATCCTTGCAATCTGATTGGCTCTCAGCCATGCAATTTATTCTTAATGTAAACAATCAACCAGTGCTATTTTACAGGCTGAATGGACCCTGCTGGTGAAAAAACCCTTTTAAAATATTTTCCATTTTCTGTAAATGTTTGTGTATGGTATTCTCTCCCAGCTTGAATCTTTACTATAAAATGATCTGGGATTATCTTCAGAGCATCTTCACAGCTTTCACATTCTCCCATTGGCCCCTTTGTGGAGATTACAAAGGACCAATCGGAACGGCCACAAAGACCACCGTTTAAAAAGGACTAATTTTTCCTTACGTTGTCTTCCCGAGAGCCTGTGACAAATACTTCAAAATCTTTCAGGATTTGTTTTTGTAACATCCTGTAAGGTTTTTTTCTCGAGTATTAGTTTGTCAATTATAAGGAAATATAAATGGTTTATGTAAGCAATAAACTGCACTCTCTATCGGTATGCCGGCGTAATAATACACGCAGGATGCAGTTCTGTAGTTTCGGTAAAACTTGAAAACTACAGAAGCTAACCATTCAGTACTATGACTGTTCTTTGATGGGCTTCTCCGCCATCAGATCCAGACCCAGCGTCTATTTCTGATATGAATGACATTAGCGAACAACAGTCTCTTTATGTAAAGTAAACTCTCGCCTAGTTTTTATTTTTGGAAACACGAGTCACAATAAAATGGTAACTTACTGCACATTTAGTTACAGCTGCACTTTTCGTCTGAGTGATGGAAACCAAAGAAATTAAAAATTTACCACAAAGGTCAGGATGAACGACTTTTCTGGGCTGATTGCACATAATTGCTATTTATGGTAATACGAATTTCAACAATTACTCTCGTCCTACTTTCTACCATGTTCGACTGCTTTTGACAAAATTTTCTATGGAAAAAATACATCTCAGATAAATGCATTTATAATAATATGTAACTCAATTATGTGTCCTATACTCTTAAGTTGTCTTTACAGGTGTCTCAATTTTTTGGGAAGAAGAACGTCTACATGCACATGTTTATAACTGAATATCCAGTCTCCTACTTATTGAACTTTTTTTCTTCTATTCCCCATAATTCCCTTCCCCCGCTCCCCTTCTACGTCCTAAACAGGTCCTCTCTTCTCCGATGACAACATTTAAAACCTTAATTTGTACAGTTACTGGTAGAAGCAAATTCTAGCTGCAACATTTCCTGCCTGTTGAAGGCGTTCGGTTCTATAGGTGTCACCGCTGTCTTATCCCTCAACGACACGCGAAACGAGTAGTCTAACACTTGTGAACCGACGGCCTGGTGTGTATTTTGTTCAGGTTTGAGAAGAATTACGTAAATCTTTGGACCTAGCATGCAACTTAATAGTCCATATGAACTGACAAGTACCATGGTGCAAGTCAAGTTTGTTGCATGGGAACCCCTTAGGCCAATGTCAATAGGGAAGTATGCTACACTTGAAAGTAGTAAGATGTACATAGAGAATCCAATATACCTGGCTTCGTTAAAGTTTTCAGGAAGTGTTCTAGCTTTGAAGGCGTAATATGTACAAGCCACTGCAAGAAGAGACGTGTACACAGATATAGCGATTTGAAAACTCATTCCAACGGACGATTGATGCAAAGAACACGAGAGAAGAATTGAACCTCTATTTGTCTGTATGATCCGTTGCTGGCGTGGCGAGTCCAAAGTAATCCATAACGAGCAGAATACAGCTGGTGGAAATATTAGCATCAGAACGATAAAGGTTTGTCTCTTTGTGGATAGAATAAAGTTTTTGAATCTCTCGGCCATAACGTTTATTTGGAATGCGCTGAGTATCTTCATGGTTTTAATTATCAGTATGGAGATGATTGTTACAAGAACCATGGGTCGCCAGCAGTGAAGCAAAGCGCACGTAAAACTCGTAGGCTTGGTGAGGGATAAAATAGAGGAAGAAAAGGACAGTGTGATTGTAAACAGAAGGATAGAACTTAACTCGCGATTAGCTGCTTTGACAAGGGGAGTATTCCAAAATTTAAAGAGAATGAAACTGCAAATGGCAAGGAGAAGGAATCCAGCAGTCGCAAACAGAACGATAAGGACAGACGCGGGACTTGACCACATGACTTCTACTTCAGGGAGATCCAAGCATTTTGACCTCCGTTCATCGGGCTTTTGTCCACGGGGACATAAGGTGCAATTCATATCATTCACTCCAGCGCTAACAGTTCCATCCAGACATTTTTGGCAAGTCCAACAGCAAGAGGTCGTCGGCAACTGATATTCACCAGCA